AGTGTGTGATGCAATATTTTGATGTGTACCCGCTAATAATTCCAAAAGAATTATTTAAGTTGGGGGAATGTTCATTTCGAATTCCGTCACCAGCTTTGCAACCCGCGGAACAGTAGTTTCTGCTAACCTGGCTAATTCATCAGTGTTATCAACTACATCTTCGTGTTTATCAATATTCACTATGTTGTACAACTTAATAATCCATTCATTACCGGATGGGTCATACACAGGCTGGACCTCAAGTATAGACTTGAATAGATTGGGAAATCGTTTCCTAAAATCTACCCACTTACAACGATGTGTTAATGCATCTTCTACAAGTTCCTCGGCACTCTTAGTTGAAGAAGGATGAATTAGTCTAAAGTGATGATCTTTATTATAGGTATAGTGACATTTCTCAAAACGTTTAAAACTCCGATCTAGTGTTTTCCTGGCTTCGCCCAAAACAGTAATCGCATCAGAAAATTCATCGTGTTTTTGTAGAAATCGTATGTACATTTCGTACAATTTCATAAGATTTTCATATTTTGGAACGTTGATTTTGTTTAACTCAGATTTCAAATTTTCTGTTTGTTCATGATCATTAGGCTATGAAATCTGCTATTTTGGCGCAATCCGTAAACCACTCATTTTCGCATGTCTGTTCAATTGAACATTTGGTTAGAATTCTAATGAGATTTTCTGCCCCATCCAAACAGAAATATTGAGTAGAAATCGAAAACTCTTTTCTGGCTGCTGCTATTTTTCCGAGTTTGTTTTCTTCCTCACCAACCAAATTATGATGTCTACCTTTTAATTTGTCAACTGATTCACTTTCCTTAACGTCCTTCAGATAGTGTTTCGTTTTTTCAATGTTGCGTAATTTCAGATGTAAATCAATCAAGACTTCCCTCAATTCATCAGTGTGATTGGTTTCCCATTCCGTCTCGTAGTAAAAAACTGCAGTTTTAAGATCACCAAGTTTACTATGCACCCAACCCAGAATGTCTAGAGCACGATCATTGCCAAGCTCGCTATGTAAGATGTTTTTCATTTCAAAAATTTTATCAACTGCCTTTTTTCCGAAAAAAGATTCATGATTACATCTAATAGCTGATATGTATTGCTCTATTGCATCTGGCTTATCTCCAATTCTATCTAAGAATTGGCCAAATCTAAAATGCACTTTAGACTTGATTCCAGCACCTGCGGTTTCACTTAACTCGGCATAGCAGATTCTCGCATCTGAATGCCTACCGAACAGTAGTAGGATGTGTGCCATAGTTAGCTTCACATCTGAATTCTCCTCACTAATATCACATGCTTCCTGGCACAGTTTCAACGCAGTTTCCAAAAATACATGAGACTGATGGGTATTCCTAACTGCATAAGATTTGGCTTTGTAGGTAAGAGCCATCTGGTCTAAATTAAAAACACTTTTCGGATTTGCTGTTCTAACCTCTTCAAAACATGTTAAAGCTTCATCAAATCTCCTTTGTTTTCGGTAAAACTGCCCAATCCTTTGCATAACTGTTATCCGCAATTTTCCTTTTGTTAACTTAATTGCTGTATCTATTTGTTCCTCCGCTGCATCATACAACTTTTTATCCTGGTAAATTTGTGCCAGTAAAACTCTTGAAAGATGCCGCGAAGGATCAAGTTTAATGACTTGTTCTAAGACTCTTTCTGATGACTCTGCACAATCAGCCAATTCCATATTTCTCTCTATTCTTCCTATAACCTTTCCATATTCCTCTAACCAATCTACGTTCTCAGGAAAACACTCTAGAGCCTCTTTAAAGAGCTCGGCAGCAATGTTATATTTAGCTGGCCCAAATTGTCTTGAGGCAAATGCTTTATGGGCTGTAATATATGCTTCTATCTCGGGTGTCTTTTCTTGGAACAACTTCTCAATCTCTTTATACAGTTTTTTGACTGAGTTATGCATACCCAATTTCAGTTGAAGCATTGCTTTATTTGTTAAAAGAATTATTTTATCTCCTATTGGTCCTTTATTACCTCGTTTTGACTCCTGTTCTATCTCAACACTATTTATCTCCGATGCTTTATGGAACCACTGTAATGCATTTTTAAAATGCTCCTTTTTGTCAAGAGGTGAAACCCATAAGTAGCCAACCAGTGTCATATAGCATACGGGTAGTTTGTCAGGATGTTCGGCCAATCCTCCTTCTATGCGATTTCTTAAATCCTACACAAACATAATTAGAAGTAGATCTTAGTAACATGACAAACTGTGCCAATACATATCTTAATTAATGCCACAAACATAATTTGATACTATCAGTTGAATATCAAAATTATGGTATGTGTATTTGCATCTAATAAACGAGTTATATTTATAGCACTTATAAGGCAATTTCTCACGGTCCGTTCTCTCTCACTTTGATCTTCTAATTTCCAGTGAAAATGTGATGGAAATTGTTCCAGTCTTTGCTTTAGTGTACCAGCATCCATGATCGGATAAATAGTTCAACTAGAAGATAAAAACATAAAACAATCGTTAGACATATTCCTCAATGTCAATTGTCTAATGAAGGCCATGATGTAGAACTTAAGACTCGTCTTGATATAAAATTTCTCAGATAAATCATCTGCACTATTGAACCATGTGACACAATTGTCACGTATTTCCACATGTCATTTTAATATACACAATATGAGCTAGAAAAAGTAAAATATGTAAAGCCTTTCGAAAAGAGTTGGGTTGTATTGTACGAGAGTAGAAGAGATCACCATGGCTGTATATATTTTTTTTAAATATAAATGGTTTTAATCGTTAAAGAATTTAGTGACGATACTTCCTAAATTGTTAAGAACAAAACTGATGCGAAGGTTTCTACAGTGACGATGGCATTATCAATATGCTCATTTTTCATTTACATATTTTACAAATAACCCAATATTTACAAATTTGTTTGGAGCATATTTTTTAACAAATTATCGACATTTCAATTGGAACAAATTTGTTGTTTATTTATTTATATGAAGCTTATTTTCAATGAAAATATTAGTTAAAACAAACTGTTTAATAAACATTTAATTTCACATTCAGATATGATGATGTATTTTCCATCAACAATATATTTAGTGATTATATTAAGTGGAACTCAATGTTTAATTTGTCTCGACAAAAGGGATGATTCAAAGTACTCCACCCAATGCACTCAGGCCTGGATTACATATATAATATATATATGAGTTTTTAAAGAAACATTGAAGATTGTATTCTTTGGTCCAAACTATTAAACCTATTTTGTAAGAGAACGACTAATCCACTGAGTCGTTATAAAGCAACATTGATTTTAATTATCTGAAACTTTATAGACCCTTAACAAATGCGTTGGTTAACAGTAGCATTTGTCCAGCTGTGCCGCTAGGCCTGCCAAAACAATATAATTAACATATTAATCAGAGCCAACATAAATGAAGGAACAGCAAATATCCAAAATTTTGTTTATTTCTTTTCCTCTTCTCACACGCTCTTTCCGGATCATACTGGAAAAAGTTTTAAAATTGTCTGGTTCAAATGAGTGTTTTAAAAATGAATATTATCTTTATTTCAGTTATTTAGTCTAGGTGCTAGACTGGTTGTCCATTGATTTAAATTGCCCCACTATATTAGTTTATATATCACATTTTGTTTGACACATTGCCAACCAGATTTCTGCAACAGGGCCCCCTCGCAAGACAACACTCTGTGTTGTTCACAAGAAGGGTGACCTACTCAAGTGAACTAGCTACCGTAGTTTGATATCCCTGGTAACTAGGTCATGATCCTTTTCTGTGCCGGGTACCAAGGGTGCTGAAGTGTGAATGTTAATGATTGTAACTTTCTGTCTTGATTAATTGCCTGATGTCATTTGACTACACTTGACAGGTACTTCCTATTTCCTATGTGACCCCATTGCCAATCAAATTGTTTTTATTTATACGCGACCCAATGGAATCCCTGAATATGTTTTAATCGATTTAGCCTCATTTGCTATAAATTGCACACAAATCAGCACTCTTCGGTCAGTTCTTGTAACTCTCCCACAAAACCCCAAGATCAAGCCAACCCCTGAAAAACTAAAGACCTTGCACTCCACAGAGCTTCGGAATAGAGAATAGAGAGATAACTTTGGCTCTATACCAAGATAATTGAGCATTGCTTTAAGTTTTCAGTAAAGATATTGGGAGACATTCTCTTTAAGGGTTTCAGAGGGTGACTTGTGTGACCCCATGTGACTGTCATTATTGTGTTATTAATAAAAAAGATTAACAGCGTTCCTTTATCAAAGATTCCCATTGAGTGATATATTTTCACTCCAAAGAATCCCTATCTGTTGACGTTACCTGTCCTTACCTATCAACAGAAGTGGCAAAACATTACATTGGTGGCAGCGGTGGGATAAAGACCTGAACAAGAAGAAAAAGAGAGAGATGCAACTACCAAGGAAAAACAAGAGGCAATAGAGATAAAAGAACCACATACACCAACATTGGGGTATATGACAAGGAACACTAATGAGGCAGCTAGATAATGCATAAAAGAGAAAAGCAAGGGTTAGAACTGAAACAAAAAGAGAGACAGAAAAAGACTTGATAAGAGTAGAACCGGAGATTAGGAATCAACGGGACCTTCCAATACTGATTGAACAAGAAGAAGCAAAGACCCACAAATATGGATCATCGGTTGATAGCCCTGAAAGAATTAAACCACTGAGAGAATGGGGGGCTGGAACCCCACTAAATCAAGACAATATAACATAAGAACACCAAGTGGTGGGAAAGCAGTCCGATCAAAGTTAAGAAGAGAGAATGCATTGAGAGGAGAGGAAGAATTTAAACAAAGAGGGTTTATAGCGTGCAAGAAACCCAGCATAATTCCTGGAAAATATACAGGCAGAGCACCATTGAGAAAATATAAAGCCCATTTTGTGTGCTATAGTGAATGACTGCAATGAAGAGAGGGAAGCAAGATATTTGGCTGTTTTACAGGGCTGGCACAAAAGGTACTGACCAACATGCCTACAGATGGTCAATTCACATATGAGGAATTGATACAAAGATTAGAGCAAAGATTTGGACCGGGAGGCCAGGCTGATAATTATGCAGCCGAGGTAAGAAACAGTCAAAGAAAAAAGAAGAGAGCATACAAAAACTGGCTGAGGCCATCAGAGAACTACCTGATTTGGCCTACCCTGGCATGGACTACATCACACAAGCTAGGCAATTCGTCAATGGTGCCATAACAGAGAAGGAAATATGAGAGTATTTTCCGGGCCAACCCACTGACTATGGATCAAGCTATACAAGCTACAATACAGGCAGAGTCATATATGAGGGCTGAAGAACAGAGAACAGCTAACCGAAGTCCAAGTTTAGATGGATGGTGGACACAAACTGGCAAATAGAGATGCAAGCCCTGCGGGACAAACTTGAAGAAATGGAAGAAAGGGGAACTGAAATAGAAACTAGCACGCAAGCCTTGAAGAAAATATAGTCCAACAAGACAGTGGTTGGGAAACGACGACAGACCAACCCGAGGGCTGGGAACAAGACAGGCCCACAGCCATACAAGAAAAAGAATAGAAACAGAAGAACAAGAGGGGGCAGCAGTGGAAAAGAACCAAAACCCAGTAAAATCTAAAGGAATCAAGACGGGGCAGACAGTCCCCACCTCCCTTGAAAAAGACAAAACCTTAAGTAGAGCCTGAAGTGGTTTGTTTGTAATGGGAGATATAATTGGCACTCCTGGCAAATTTTTAATTGATACTGGATCTTCGGGTATGCTGATATCAAGGACTCAATATGACCAAATGGCAGATGCCTGGAAGCCACAATTACAGCCCACTCCGACTCGTGGATGGAAGCCATATGAATCAGAATGGAATGGCACCCATGCAAGTCAAGATATGAAAGAACACGGCAACAGTGGACGTGGTGGTAGTGGAAATGGACATGGCAAGTTTAGTGGGAATGGACGTACTAATGAAGGCGAGATGTACACTGGACCTAAACAATTTAAAGTTAAAATTTAAAAATGGACAAGAAAAGGTAATCGCCTGTGGGAGCCAAGCACTCTCAAAACAAGAGTGCAATTATTGCATAACAAGAAAAGAACTTCTCGCTTTGGTTAACTACGTAAGATTGTTTTTGTATGGTAGGATATTTACTGTACGCACGGATCATGCTGCACTAAAATGGCTGTTACAATTCAAGAGCCCGGAGGGACAAATAGCAAGATGGCTTGAAGTGTTGTCTGGTTATGAATTCACTGTAGTACATAGACCAGGACGATTACACAATAATGCCGATGCATTGTCAAGAATACCATGTAAGCAATGTGGGCATAAGCAAGGCAAAGACAGCGCTCTTTGCACAGCTGGAGAGTACATGGCCAGTGCTTTACCCACCATGAGGGATATGGGACTGAAGATAAGATTGACAGGGTTTCAGCCAAACGTGAACCAAAATAAAATACAGATTGCTCAGGAACAGGATCCAGATATAGGACCAGTTAAAGGAGCAAAGGACTTACAAAGTAAACTAAGTTGGGAAGAGGTGTCCAGATGATCACCAGCAAGTAAAAAGTACTGGACCTGTTGGAACCAGTTAAGTGTGAAAACATGCTGCAAATAAAATGGGAAGCAGTGGAAACAGGGGAAATTACTTGGAAAATAGTAATGCCAAGGAAATACAAGAACCACATATTGGAAGCACTACATAATGATGTAGTGACTGGACACCTGGGAGTAAATAGAACCAGAGAACGAGTTCATCAACGTTATTACTGGTATGGTATGACTGCAGATATACGGTCATGGTTAGACTGGCGCAGTTGGGGTGATTAAATAAATTGCGAAATGGAGGTGTTAGCACTGCAGGAACCCGTAGATTTTTCAACGGGTAATTATGTTAATGAGTGTTCTAATTGACAATCATCTGAGCCAATCAATATCTCTTCAACTGACCTCTGACCGAGAAGACGTCGGCTGATTGTAGCAGTCGATATTTTTTTAATTCTACGACTAGTACGAGTTACTTTTTTACACATTGTGATGAATTAGAAACGAAGATTTCGCGCTAACACCTCCATTTCGCTATTTTTAAAAATTTTATTTAAACTACAAAAACAAATTAATCGCCCCGACTGCGCCAGTCTAGGTCATTAGTACAACACCAAGAAGACATAAAGCGCCTTTACAACAATATATCGCTGATATATGGTTGGAGCGCCGTTAGAAAGGAATGCGATAGATGTAATGGGACCCCTACTAGTTGTGGGAGATCACTTTAGTGAGTGGATGGAGGCATATGCAAAAAAGAACCAGGAAGCTGTCACAGTCGCCAATGTATTGGTGATAGAATTCATAGCCCACTATGGAGTTCCAAAAGAACTACATTCAGACCAAGGGAGAACTGTTGAATCAAACGTCTTTTCGGAAGTATGCAAGATACTGGAAATAAAAAAAAAACATGTCGTACTGGATATCGACCAATCAGTAATGGCCTCATCGAAACAATGAATAAAACTCTGGCTAATATGATTGCAAAACATATGAATGAGAACCAGACTGACTGGGATTATTGGCTTCCATTGGTCACGATGGCTTATAGAAGTTCTGTACATGAATCCCCAGTAGAGACCCCAAATATGATGATGGGAAGGGAGACTGCATTACCAATAGATTTGACAGCAAAACCCGCAGAAGAAGAAATTTACACTGATTATGCAATGCTGTTAAGGGAGAAAAAATTCAAGAAGCCCACGAACGAGCCCGAGACAAATTAAAGAAAAGTCAACTGAGGCAGAAAGAACAGTATACCAGAAAACTGTGCCAGGAATGGAAAATAATAAGGAAGTGGAAAAGACACTACCGAACAGACAGAAATAACAACAGAGATCACGAAAGGTCAGGAAAAAGAAACAACAGAAACAACTAAGGAAAAACAGAAAGTCATAAAATGCAAAGTAAAGAACAAGCAACAGATAGACTGAATGACAAAGAGATAGGAAGGCGACGAAATCCTCCCAGAAATAAACAGATTCCTGCAAGATCCCGATAAGCAAAGTGATTCATCTTTGGAAAGACGTAGGTAGGGAAACAAGAAAGGCATCATGACATAGTTTTTAGGGATATCAAACTACGGTAGCTAGTTTACTTGAGTAGGTCACCTTCAAGGGATGTGCCAACCAGCTTTTCGCGACAATATATTCGAAAATTTGAATAAGATTCCATACAAAGCACTCTAAATATAAAATATAAAAAGTCATGTCATGACATAAATAGAGTTCCTATCGTTCAATGGTTCAACTGAAATGAGTCAGAAATTATGAACCATAATTTGAAAAAAAATGTTAATATGTGTGACATGATGCATAGCGAAGTTTAAAACTTTGATTGCAATCAGTCAAGGCATACCAGAGATAATGTCATTTGCTAATACAAAACATTTTTCATTTGGCCATTTTTATTTGATCTCAAAAACGAAATCAAGGTCTAAATATGTTTCATGTATGAACCGAGTTTGAACAATAGTTCCACGTATGACTAAGGTCTGCAACGACAGAAATGATTGAAAACATTTAAATGGCCGCCATTCGACCATCCTAAATCTAAATATATATATTTATATTTGTGGCATGATGTATTATGTATACATAAAGTTGGAACATGATTGGTCAAGGCATGTTTGTTAGAGGCTCTGGAGTAGCATTCATTGAAACAAAATTGTAGCTATTTTGAATCCGATCTGAAAAACTGACATGCATCCAAGATTGAACTAAGTCCATTCATTCGCCAAGGTCCGGTTCCGAAATGACAAAAATACTTGATTTTGATGAATTTGTAGGAAAATGGCCGCCATTCAACCATCTTGAATTTTATTGGGAAACAAATGAATGCGCACGTTTCTCTCAAGGCGTGTGAATTTTGAATGTGGTCGTTCCAGGCATGTTCAAGGTACAGGTCGGAACAAAAGGGTGGATGCACACAGGTCAATCCAAACGGGGACTTATAACGGCAGTCATAATAAATAATAAAATCCCTACATTTATTTTAATTCTACTTAAACTATGTCACACTACACTGATTGTTTTTTCAATATTCACTTTGAAGTTTTAATGTGTGATACACCAACTTGGCATTGACAAACTAACATCTGCGTATACATTAATGAGATATATCCAACAAAATAATACTTTAATAATAAATAAAAATATTTCTAATTCCATTTATTACAGTTTGTATAACATTGCTTGTATGATTGAAAAGAGTATTCTATTACACTAGAGGTGAAACATAACATGTATGATGTTAAACCTGCTAAGCAGGGGTTGGTCACAATATAATACCAAAGGTACATTACTTGGGGTTTGAATATCTGATACTGCATTTCATCTATTTGAATTAACATGCATACTTGTCTCATTGTATCATTCAAATGTACTTTATACCAGTCATAATCATCAGAGGGAAACCATAACCACAGGAAGCCGAGGTACTATAACAGTACGCCTTGCATGTAAAGATGGTAGCGATCCCACATTTTTAATTTAATTTAATTTCATTTAATTTAATAACAATTTCTTCAACTCCTTTATTTACGTTATTGTAATTTTTGATTTGCGTTTCGCATATTCTGTTGATGAAGCTACATAAATTGTTCACAAAAATGCAAGTAGATTATATCATGGGACTACGTGATTTTACGACATTTCCCGAGTTTCCGCGACCCACACCGACCTATTTACTGTACGGGACGAAGTGTACAATATCTGTGTATCTAACTTTCAGAGGAGTCATTGCAATCGGCAAGTAGTGACACAACGATTATGTTAGTATTTTTATAACATATGGTGCATAGAGTGTCTACGCTAGATATTCATTTATTGGAAATCACACTGCATTGGTAGTCATAGTTACTGTACGACGATTCCCGATGCCATCAACTGATCCCGTTTGCCCGGAATCTAAATATCCTCGGGCGAGCTACGTCACAATACGTTCCACGTTGCTAAGACGCGCACCACTGTACATGCATTAAAACAAACATTCAGACTTTTGAAATTAATGCCCCTCCCCCCTCCCCGAGGTGCATCTGGTGGCCATTCGTTTATTAGAGATGAAATAAGTTTATTTGAGGTCCGTCACAACATGGAGGTAAAAAGAGAAGGAATCGCAGCCAAAATAATCCTTCTAAACTTCTTTTGTTTTAGACAAGTTTAATCCTATAATTTCCTTTGTCTTATCGTCCTTTCACCCCAGGATCGTCGCCGACGCGTCATTTACTCTCAAGCGTTGCTGCGCACAGTACACATTCCAAGGTCTTGTTTTATGGTGCGCAGATCTTTTATACGTAGAGGAAACGTGTTTGTGAGAACGGGAAAGTTGGAATTTTGAAAATCAGAGAATTTCTTGTTAAGTTTATGTAATTTTTCGTTTTTCAGCACATTTTCCGTTGTAGTTTTGACTCAGCAATATTTTAATGTTAATTGCTAGTACTGTTTTTTAGTCCACAATAAAGCTCGTTTAATGATCTTTGCAATGGTGCATGGCATGGACCGCACCGCGTTGTACCAGTGACTGAATTTTGAGGTTCGAAATGACGCTTTTTGAAGTTTATATCCCTTGTATGTCCTACTTCCTACGGCAGTGCGTCAACAAGAAATTCGCTGCATTTTTTTGTTTTCGAGTAATCGTTTCGTTCACAGCATATGGAAAACAATTTTTCGTCTGTAATATGCTCTTTTATTTCGTTTACGTCTTCTGAAATGAAGGACATAGCAGTT